CCCCAAAACCCCAAAACCCCAAAACCCCAAAACCCCTATTTATTTGAATACTATTGAGAATATATAATAAATTTTTGTACTCAATCATCAAGACAACCATGACTTCTAAAGTGAACACTTATAATACCTTCGCCAGCAGTAATAAATCTTTTGGATATAAAGGCCGAGAACCAGAGAGAGCTTCACATCGATATTGTGGAGTGAAGAGAAAAAGATCAAATACTTTTGCAGAGACTACCGACACTATGTTTCAACCAAAGTTATCCAGAAGCAAGCTCTCAGCCTTTTTGGGTGAAGAGTTGCCTTTAAAGAAAAATTTGAGCAAATCTCCGCTTCTTCAGACAGACCGAGAATTTTCCGAGATTCCAGTGGGGTCTTTCTTGACGAATTTAAAAACTCGAGGAAGAGTTTTATCATCGATTTCAGAGCAGACAATGCTGTCTACAAATGCTCAGAGCTTCTCGAAGTACTGGCAGTTGTCACAGAATTTGTCTAATAATCCATGGTCACAACATTTGTCCCCTCCAGGTAAGTTTTCCCTTCCATTTGGTAAGATCAGTCATAGGCCGGTATTTTTAAATTTGTGTTTACAGGCAAAAATTATCCAATCTGATGTAGGAGGAAATTTTTAGTAGAAATTCCTTCTTTTGGTAGAATTTTGTTAGGCTGAAAATTAAGCTTCTAGAAGTTTAGTGAATTTTTCATAATACTGTTTGCCCTATTGTTTATTGTGTATAAATTTTCCATCAATAAACTTATAGTGACCTCCCCGCTCCTCTCAGTGTTTGTCAAGACTCAAAACCATGAGAATGAGTTCAAGCTGAATGGTGCTACCAAGCATGAAGAGATCCATTCCAGATTTGATATGAAATTGAATGCATCTGAGCCCTCATCTCCTTCTCATTCCCCGGGGAGAACCCTGGAGAAGCTAGAAAGATCTCTTAAGGAGGATAGATCCTCCCAGTGGTGTTAGATGACTTAAAGTCTAGACGACAGCATAAGTATGGTTCCCAGATCAGTGGCAACCAGGTGACTTGCAAGTGTTGCAATCAGCTAGACTATAGCACTCTGCCAATCAGAGGTACAAGAGATAGTTCTCAACTCTATTTGTGCGCCAAGTGTAGTTCTGCTCTTGAAAAAAAGCAGGATTATGCTAGCACTCATAATGGGACTGCTTGTATTTCTGACAAGGGGCTTAATCTAGTTGAGTTCACCTGTCACCAAGGGCATTCCTGGACAGTGAATATTCATAGAGGATATAAGAACTGGTGCTCCACCTGTATCAAACTTGCTAAAGAAGAACAGAAGAAGAAGTATAAAAGCAAGAGAAATATCAGAAACAAGAAGAACGCTCAAAAGCAAAAGAAAGTTTTTGAAGATGCTAAGACAAGATGCTTGGCTAATTCACAGGTTGAGCTTTCAAGCCAGTTTGGAAGTGTAGAGGAACTGTTTTCCTCGGAAAACAATTCCTTTTTCCCTGAAGCCAAAATCAAGGCAGAAGCTTACTTTGATCAGCCAGAGGCATCAAAAACTTGTACATTTGAGCAAGCACTCTGTGTTTATAAAGTACTTGAGATAGATGCTGATAGGGCTAGACTCATTCTAAACAGAATGTCTCCTAGCTCTAAGAAGGTTGGATATAAGAAGCTGGTCTTGAGTCTTCATCCAGACAAAAATAGACATCCTTTGTCCAATGAGGCTTTCCTCAAAGCTTCGGAGTTATTCAATAGCTCCTTCTAAATCACCTATAATTATTATCGAATTAGAGTTCAACAAATGCTGCGTTAAAAGGGGTTTTGGGGTTTTGGGGTTTTGGGGTTTTGGGG